TTCCCCTTTCTCTCTCCTGGAATCTCCACCCTCCCCCACCCTCCCTTCTTAAATATCCCCCTAAGGTTTTGTGAAAACTCAGATCCCAAAACCACAGATCTTAAGGGGTGTCCCCAAAAGGTTTTCATGACAAGTAAGTTCAAAAATCACAAATCGCAAGGGGTGTGCCCCTCTCAGGCTTTGTAAGAACTCAGAGCCAAAAATCACACATCGCAAGGAGCGTCCCTCTAAACGCGTTTGTAAATGATCCACCCTGTACCTCTCACTTGCCTCCTACCTCCCCCACTCCTAACTCATTCCTTCCCTTCCCATCTCATGTCTCCTCACCTCCCATCACTTTTTCTCCCATCCACTCATCTTCTTATCATCTTCTTATCGCATTCATCACTTTTTAATTTGTCTTATGGGGTCTATAGAGCCCATATAGAAAAGCTTCATAGATATGTAAACCTTACAGATCCTCGAGATAAAGAATTTGTAGGAACCGCTTATGTTTCCCACAAATGGAATCCTTTATAAAAAAATCTTTGAAAGATCGATTATATGGCGCCCTCATACACAGTCTTTATATACTCCTTATAGAAATCTATAGATCCTCTGTACAGATCCCTGATATGGAACCCTTGGTAGAAAACCCTTAGACTATACAATCCAAAGAACGCACCCACCCTCCACTCCCTCTACCTCTCCACCCATCTCCCCACTCCCTCCTCTTCCCCTCCCTTTGTCCACCCGCCCTCCCCTCATCCGCGCTTCTTCATTCACCCGTAACCCTTCTTGATTGCCATCTCACTCTGCTCCCCTTTCCTTCCTGCCCCTACCTGCCTTTACCTCCCTCTTCCCACCCCTCGCTCCCTCTACCTCCTCTCTCCACCCACCCTCTTCTCCCTGTTCCTCTCCACCCTCTCCCCACTCACTCACCCAACCCACTCAGCCCGGCCAGGCTCCCCAGCTGGCCCTGCCTCAAAGCAAGCCTGGCGTGCTGGCCGCGGATCTCAGCAGGCCCCTGCCCACCTTCAAAAGCCCACCAGGCTCAGCAGGTTAGGCCGCAGGCAAGCTGCGAGCTGGCCGCCTTCGGCAAGCTGTCTAACATTGTTTCTTATCCACTTTCACCTATTCCCTCGCTTCAGTCCATGCCCTACCTTTCACTCCTTTCCAGACCCTTCTGATATGAGTAAAATGAGAGGAGGAGGTGAAAGGGACGAAGAACAGCTCTCTCCATTACTTTCTCTCATCTGCTTTGACCCCTTCCCTTTCCTGGCTCCATGCATGCCCTGCGCGAAGAGAAGAATAAGAGAGAAAAGAGGAAGAGCAGAGGAGAAACTGGTTTCCCCTCTTTCATTACGTAGCATTCTTTTGGCCACTTCCTCCACACTTCTCGTATCTTCCTCTCTCTTCTTCCTCTGCTGGGCTTGAAGCTCTCTCTCGCCCTCTCCGCAACTCTCTTCTTTCTGTCGAGCGGCCGAGCGGTGGGAGAAGAAGGGCACAAGGTGAGTGAAGACGAGAACACTTCTTCCTTGTCTTCCTCCACAACCTCTTCCTGGTTTTTTTACCAATGGGACGGTGAGATAGGACAAGCAAGGCACTTTCGGCTGCTTTCTGCATCGCTTCCCCTCCCCTCCTCTCTCTCACTCTCTGCCTCTGTTTGTGCTGGTCTTTCTCTCTTACTTTCTCTCTTTGTTTCTGTGTTTGTTTCCTTATGGCTCTCGTTCTTCTTCTGCCCTTCTCGGATTGTCTCTCAGCTTCTGTTGTCTTTCTCTTACTCCCTTGTCTTCTTCCCTGTGAATTGTCCTTCTTCGACGAGAGGCAGGAAAGGCAGGAGGAGAAGGAATAGGGGGCAAGCGATTCTTTCCAAGCGAACATAATAGGCGGAGAGAAGCGGAAAAGGGAATGTGCAGAAGTAGACGGGAAGGGAGGGAGGGAGAAAGAGGGAACTGGAGAGAACAATGAAAAGGAGGATGGATGAGGTGATGAGAAGAGTGCTGGAGAGAACAATGAAAAGGAGGATGGATGAGGTGATGAGAAAGAGTGCCCTTTGCATGCCCTGAACTCTCCGTTTCTTTCATTTCTCCTTCCTTATGAAGATGAATAGGGTAAGAGAAGAGGAAGAAGGCAAAGGGCAAGGAAGTAAGAGAGGCGAGCGAAGGAGGAATTCTCCTTTCTTCTCCGAACCGTCTTCCCGCATCTTACCGCTTCCTTTCTGTTGTCTGCTCTTCTTTCCTTATGTCTTCGCAGAGCCTTTCCTCCTTATCCTTTTCTTTCCTCTGGTCATTCAAAAAGGAAAAGAGGAGGAGACGCGAACTGATTCTCCTTGCTCCTTCTTACCACACTCTGCTTTTCTACATCCCCCTGCTTTCTTTATACTCGGTTTGGTGTTCATGTCCTCGGGAGGCCCCCTTAGGGAGGAAGTTGGTGGCTTCCAGAAAGTTGTGGAAGTGTCTGAAGGCGCCTACAAGCCTCCTCAAAGCCCTCGCGAGGCCCGGAATCCTTTGAGATACGGCAACACTGGTACTCTCTCGCTTCCTCTTCTGTGTCCTTCTTCCTAGTCTTCCTCGTTTCTCTTTCTTTCGCACTCGACTTCCCGCACTCTCTGTCTATGACTTTCTCTTATCCACTTTCACCTATTGCCTCGCTTCAGTCCATGCCCTAGCCTTCACTCCTTTCCAAACCCTTCTGACATGAGTAAGCATCAGAAGAATGAGAGGAGGAGGTGAAACGGACGAAGAACAGCTCTCTCCGTTACTTTCTCTCATCCGCTTTGACCCCTTCCCTTTCCTAGCTCCATGCATGCCCTGCGCTAAGAGAAAAATAAGAGAGCAAAGAGGAAGAACAGGAGAAAGGGGCTTCCGCCCTTTCAATACGTAGCTTTGGCTTACGCTTCTTCTGGCCACCCCTTGCCCCTTCCCTTATCTTCCTCTCTCTTCTTCCTCTGCTGGGCTTGAAGCTCTCCCTCGCTCTCTCTGTATCTCTCTTCTTTCTGTCATTTCTCAATCTCGTCTTTTCCCTTCTCCACTTTCCTTCCTGGTTCGCACTTTTCCGCCAGACAAGAAAATCAAAGAAAGGAGAGCGGGCGAGCGGTGGGAGAGGAAGGGCACAAGGTGAGTGAAGAGGAGAACACTTCTTCCTCGTCTCCCTCCACAAGCTCTTCCTGGTTTATCACCAATGAGACAGTGTGATAGGACAAGAACAAAGAATGAATAGACGTGGAGGTCAAGGCACTGTCGGCTGCTTTATGCATCGCCTCCTCTTTCTGTCTCTCTTTTTGATTATCTTTCCCCCTTGTTTTCTCTCGTTGTTTCTGTATTTCGTCCCTTATGGCTCTCTCTCCGTTTCTTTTGTCTGTTTTCTTACTCCCTTGTCTTTCTCCTTGTGAGTCTTCCTTCTTCCTTCTGAGTGATAAGGGGAGACGGACGGGAGGCAGGGAAGCGAGGAGGAGAAGGAACAGGGCAAGCGATGGGACAAAGAGAGTGAGAGAAAGTTGAAGATAAGTATCAAAGCAAGCATAATGTAGTGGGCGAGAGAAGTGGAAAAGTAAATGTGCAGAAGTAGAGAGGAAAGGATGGAGGGAGAGAGAGAGAGAGAGAGAGAGCGAGAGCGAGAGCGAGAGAGAGCAAGAGAGAGAGAGAGAGAGAGAGAGAGAGCGAGAGCGAGAGCGAGAGAGAGAGAGAGAGAGAGAGAGAGAGAGAGAGAGAGAGAGAGAGCGAGGGGGAGATGGACAACGCAATGAACACGAGGAAGGAGGAGATTATGAGGAACAGTATCACTTGCTCTCCCTGAGCTCTCCGTTCTTGTCGCTTCTCCTTCTAATTGTGAAGAAGGATAGGAGCAGAGAAAAGAAGGCAAGGGCAAAAAATCAAAGAGCCGAGTGAGGGAGGAATCCACCTTCCTTCTCCCAACCATCTTCCTCCATCTTATGTCTTCGCTTCTGTTTTCGATTCCTTCCAGCAACGGAGCAAGGAAAGAGGGGACAGAAGAGATGAGAGAGCGAGACACGGCAGAGAGGAAGACAGAGCGAGAAAGAGAGAGAGAGAGAGAGAGAGAGAGAGAGAGGGAGGCGGAAGCGAGACCTCCCTCGTGTTACCCCTGTCATTGAAAGCAGAAGGCGACAAGAAAAGAAACAGAAAAAGGATCAATCAAAGGAAGGAGAGAAGGGAGAGACGAGAGAATGAAGAGTTCACTTCGTCCATCTTCATGCGTATTCCTCTGTCATGACTTCAATTTCTGTGTCTTCTTGACAAACGGCAGAGTGGATAGGCAGGAAGAGGAACGGTGAGAGAAAGAAACAGGACGAGTGATACACAAGACAGATTCTTGATGGTTCCCGGCGCGAGAGGGACGGGAGGACATTGTGATAGACCCTAAAACCAGCACAGAGAACGTCGCCTGGCATGCCCGAGTTGTGAGAGCGTAAAACCATCTAACTCCTCATAAACTCCAAACCTTAGATCTTCCATAGTATACTGACCCCGGTAAACCATAGTTAGGAGCTAAGACCCTAGACCCGTAAACTCCTGTCGAGACCTTTACACTGTACACGCTTCGGCCTCCCGATGTAACCGTCGTGCCAGACCTTGTCGTCGCCGTGCTGAACCCAGTCGTCGTGCTAAACCGAGTCGTCGTCGTCCTTGTCGCCGTGGTGTTGTTGCAGTTTAAGTACAAAGCCCAGCAGGATTGCCAAATAGACCCTAAAGGTCCATGCCACAAACCCCTAAACCCTATATATATATATATATATATATATATATATATATATATATATTGTACCGAAATACAATCAAACCTTGATCCCTCGAATTCTACACAACTCCTACTTCCTTGCCCGAATCAAAGCTCCGCCGAGGCCGCCGCTGGAGTGGATCTGGGGAACAGCTTCGCTGCAGGCCTCAACGACATGCAAGCAAGGAACCAAGCCGACGAGAGGCCAGCCGGCACCGGCACGATTGAGGATAAGAAGTACGAGGAGGCTCGCTAGAGCTACCATTGTAAAAGCATGCTGTGTAATGACATCACTAACTCCGCCTGTACCTCCCTTCCAGAGCAAGAACACCCTCCACAAGTTCTGTGACTCCCTCCTGACCAAGAAGAACAAAATCAACTCTCTTATCCGAGACCTCGATCAGAACTACGGCTGTGACAAAGCTGTGAAGCGGCTTTGCCTATGCATATGAACAATTCCATGAAGGGAACAATTAATTGTTCTCTCGACAGAACCTTTGCACTGTGCCTTCATCCCAGGAGTCGCGAGAGTCTCGAGGAGCACCTGGCTGAGATCGACAAACAGCATGAGACTTTGAACGAGTTGCGAACCAACGGGGATGTGTATGGCTGGAACGATCAGTCTCGCAGTTGCAAAACAGTCATTGTTGTGCATGAACATCAAGTTTTGCTGGTTTGCACTTTGTAAGGCTTATGAAGGATGCCGAAGGCAAGATGAAGGCTGCGACTTTGAAGTGTTCTGGCCAGCATTAGACCCTTCCCTGTGGCCTTCTGTACAGGTATAGAACTGTCTAAAGAATGCGAATACATCCCAGGATTTCCAAGGCCATGGCGCTGGAAAGCTGGACGAGGTCTGGCTACCCGAATGCGAGCGGGAGTGTGAGAGAGCCCTTAGGGGGGGCTAAGATTCTAGGTTACGGCTCCGTGGTGAAACATAACCTGAACCACAGAAATCTCGCACACTCTATGTCATCCCAGAACAATTGCCTCAACCACATAAACCCCGCACTCTCTATGTAATCCCAGAATAACCCAGAAATGCCTGCACAAAGCCAAAAGCCCGAACCCTTCCCAGCACGCTCTTGCAGGCAAGACAAGAAGTTCTTCAAGAAATCTGGTGAGAAGCCTGAACCCAAGGCTGCACCCAAAGGTGGTGCTAAGACTAAGACCCCCGCGAATGATGGTTCCCGCCCCGCCAAGAAACCCCTCACCAAGTGATTTCAACTTGGGTTGAAAGCGGGAAGGCGAAATCGCCTCGAGTCGCATTAGCCATGACCACATCGTCGATCCTCAGTCAACTTGTCGTTGTGTACTTAATTGTGCCTTGGATCAGTTTTCGAGTGTGGTGTTGGCTTGTAGGTGCGATTTTCGAACCAAATTAAGTGAATGGGATCTGCACAGCAAGGCTTTGACAAAGTCATGGCACTTCTGCTTCTTCGCATCGATACATGCAGGAAGCACAGCAAAGGGAACATCGCTGCACACAAATGTCTCTCTGCAGGATCCTATGTATAGTGCGATCGGGGTTTCGTTGTCGGTGATACTTGAGCTGCAACATGCCAGGTCCCAAGCCAGGCAGAGCTATCCGTGGAATCGCCGCTGATATTGGAGCTGGAGCCTGGGCCCAAGGCAACCCAGACTGATGCTGCAATCTTTAAATCGGGAGCACTTCTGCAGTTCTGCAAACAGGACTGTGATCGATTGTCGTGTTTACACATGCAGTCAGATGCACTCCATGCCTTGTCGAAGAGGATCGAATTGTTCAAATGTGCTTATATTGTTTGATGATGCATACACCAAACCTTGAGCCTCTAACCCCGAAACCTTTAAGATCCCAAATAACCTGAAACCCAATGAGGATTTGAAGTAACCCCCCGAAGCCTCGCACTCGTGCCGAGGGACGAGGTACGACAGTGTATGCTAGCGCTAGTATCCCTGTGGGAAACATCGAAGGTGTTTCGCTAGAAAACGTCGAAGGGGTTTTCCTCTGAAGCTAAACAGAACGAAGCTTGTCTGTTTGCTAGAGTGACTGCACATGGCCGGTGAAGCAGTGCTACTCCGTGGCTATTGTGCGGAAAAGGGCTAATTAGCCCTGCTTCGGGTGTGCTGCCATGTCGGACAGCGACGCTACCCTGGCGCCGACCACGCCAGGTGGTGCAGCTGCTACAGCCGTCGACTGCGCTACTGTGGTTGGGGATTCCCCGCTAAGTTCTTCGTGTCCCACTGAGGTCCCCGCAGAGCTAGGGGGGGACGATACCGCGGGGGCTCCCTCCGGGGAGGTACCCTCGTGGGTCGCGCAGACCTAGCGACCCACAGCCCCAAAAGGCGGGAGTACTCTTCGAGGGCTGGGAGGTGGAGGCTGAGCTAGATGCGCAGGCTACGGTCCAGCAGGAACGTAGGCGCACGCTAGACAGGGCCTACCGGCACCTCTCCAGCCAAGGGTTTGGGGTCTTCGAGCTAGCTGTGGTGGACCTGGATGACGCGGAGGACGTCGCCAAGCAGCTAGCTCGAGAGCTAGGTATACCTTACCAGCCGTGGCTATGGGATGGCGTTTACTGTTGGCTGCAAGAAGCACGGCAGGAAGCTACTGTCTACCAGAGGGTGCATGGCTACTTCCAGGACGAGGATGCCACCGCTACCGGCTCCAAGAGAAGAGGTCGAAGAAGCTATGCACCAGCCTCCGGTGCCGCTAAGACCTCCCCCCGGGGAGCGGAACCGAAAGGTGCTACAGCCCGGCACGATTAGTGCCACTAGGGAAGAGCGACTGCTAGAAGTTTGGGCAAGGAAGCTCCGCGAGGAGCTGCTAGAGATACACGCCCCTGTTCTCGCTAAGCTGCATGGGAGTCTGGATCCCGTGCGGGCAGCTATGTTGCTCCCAGGGAAGACACGGGCTTCTACTTTGAAGCGCTACCTGAGCTACTACAGGCAGTGGCGCCAATGGCTCCACGCCGCTAAGCTCAGGCCGCCTCCGGGCACCGCCGCTGACTTGGTGGATTACCTCCTCGCTAGGAGCGATGAGCCTTGCGACCGGTCGGTTCCGGAAGCTTTCTCAAGGCTATCTCCTGGATGGAGAAGAGGTGGCCGACTTCCCGGTCGAGCTACGGACCACCTTTGGTCGCCTGGTCTGGGCCGCTAAGGACAGCATAGTGGAGCAGCTAGCGGAGGGTGCCCCCTTGATCAAGAGGTCGCCACGCTACCCCGTTTACATGCTGGTGCAGCTAGAGCTGGTGGTGATCAACCCCGCCCTGGCGGTGGGCTGGCGCATCTGGGCTAAGTTGGTCAAGGTCTGGGCCACGCTAAGATGGTCGGACCTTCAGGCTATCCTGCCGGCCGAGCTATTGATGGTGGAAGGACGTCTCACCACATCCTCCGGAAGACAAAGACTTCCGGTGCTACGAGAAGGGTCAAGGAGCTACCGGTCGTGGTGTCGGAGCACGCCTTTTCTGCCGGTCGCTAAGGGCTGGCTGGTGGCTTCGATCTCCTGAAGGCCCACCCTAACTACGCCCGGGACTACCTCATGCCGCGGCTGGGCCGGGGGGCTTGGCGCTAAAGGAGATCCCACCGCAGGATAAGGATCTGCTAGGGCGTTGGAAACCCGAGGGGTCCGACGTGTACGCTAGGTCCTTTGCGGGTAGGGTGTCCCGTCTCCAAGCTCTCTTCGCTAAGACAGCTAGGGGGGACGCTCGACGAGCGTGAAATCGCCGCCGACCTCGGGCCCTGGCTGGAAGAAAGGGCAAAGCTAACCCACAGCCAGGCTATCCACATGGCGGCACGGCTGCGGAAGATCTGGGAAGGGCTGCTAGGTCCTGACCGAGGCGGAGGAGCTAGAGGTTCCCGAGGGACCGGACGAGCCCGCGGATCCGCTAGTGGCCGGGAGTAGCTCCGGGGCTTCTGCGGAGGTCGTGGAACGGCCTGCTAAGAGGCAAGCCAGGGTTCCCGACCGCAGCCAGGGCAGCTATGTAATCGTAGAGGTCCCAGGTGCCATTTTCCGCCTGCACAAGGCGGGCGCTACGGGCTGCTGGATGGGGAAGCGTCGTGCTTTCCGCAACGCTAGGATTCTTCATTCCGTTCCGGGGCCGCACGAGTACACACATGTGTGTAAGCTCGGAAGATGACGAGGCCCCGGAGGATCTCGCACCGGGGTCCGCTAGCAGTCGCAGGGCGTGCTAAGCCGCCGAACTCGCACTCGCACCAAGGCTAGAAAGACTGCTAGGTCGGAACCGCATGTCCTCCCCTCTCTGCCTCTCTCTTCTCTCTCTCTCTTCCTCCCTTGCGAAACGCCGCTAGACTTTTGAAGGGGGTGTGCTGGGGGGGGGGTGAGCCGATACACCCACAAGGAAATGCTCCTTGTTAGGAGGTGTATGACCAGTTTATTCCCTAAGGATCAAAGGGCAGCGCCCTGCACACGGACAGTAGTTGTTTTGTCTTGCTACGCAAGGAGAGCTTGTCTTGTCTCAATATGGTAAAACCACTTGAGCCAATGGGCAGCGGAATGTATATGTATGAGCATGCAGCCATTGCTGTAGGTACCTGTTAGAGCTACCCCTTTAGAGGTTTACGCAAACAAACAGACACTAATTTTCTTTTACCGGAAGCATGGCCGCACATTCACACATATACTATTATGCCCACTGTCACAGTTGCGGAGTTTGGACTCATGATAAAAACAGCATATTGTTTATGCTAGGTATAGCACTGAAGTACACTGTTGAAGTCACTCTTGAAATCACTCCTTTTGAACTCTTTCATGCACATTGGTCAGAGAGATCGTCTGTACAGGATCAGGTCTGGTAATGTTCTTCTATCGAATTATGCAGCCCTTCACTGTGCTCTTGTTAGAGCCTTGTGAGTCACTGTTGTGAAACTCTGAGATTTTCCTTATCTCAGATTTGGATCCAGGTTTGGATCATAGGCTCGAGCATAGACGTTCGGATGTGGTTCATCCGGGTCTGAGTGATCTTCTTCGGAACTTGAAAAGATTCCGAGTAATCTGTTCTCAGCCCTGGTGAAGGCGGCGTCTGCAGTGTCATATCCATGGTTGGATGTAGTCGCCTTTGGCTCGGCCTTTGGTGCAGCTTGTGAGCTGATTGGAGTTGCCTCGGCTTTAGCCGGTTGTGGCTGCTTAGCCTTTGCCCGTTCGGCCCTTCTTCTTTCAAGCTGTCCGTCTGAGGACGCCCATGATCTTTCACTTTCATCTCCTGAGGGAGATAAGGCGTGGGCATGAAGGCTGTTCCAGTACTGTGCTGCAGAAGGAGTTAGGACTTCTTCATGGTCAGATTCTGACTGGTCTTCCTCAGAGCTTTGGTCGTCAAAAAGTGTCTCAAGGACATTTTTGAGGTTTTTATGTCTTCGCTCTATCTCTAGTGAGGAATGGACCAATTGATTGAAGACTGTTTTTGAGTCCTTCAGTGCTGTTAGAAGGATTTCCACTCTGGATAGAGTATCTTGGATGGTGTCAAGATGATCCTTTCTTTCCTCCTTGTCTCTCTGGATAGAGTTTCGCAATGATTGTGCGATTCTGAGGAGGTCGAGATATTTCTCAATAGGCATAGTTACCGTATGATTGTCATGTATGACAGTTGTTTCGTCGCTGCTCAAGTTCCTGAATAGGACTTCCACGACTGGTAGAAACTCCGTGCTCCACGGTTCCTCTTCATCATATGTTTCTACGTGCTGTTGCACGCGTTGTGTAAACTGCTCGGCTGCTTCTACCGTTGCATCGATAGAGCTGACGTGTCTTACTGCCATGTTTC